AACATAAAATTCGAATATTGGTTCGATTATAGAACGATTGTAAACGTTCCAGAAACGTTGAAAATAGTTCGTTTGACTTGACGTGAACAGGAGACGTTCAGAAATAGAATCGGGACCAGATCTCTAATCAGAAACGGGGGACCTAATTCTTGCACTCTGTGAAAACGGGTAAGATTGGCTATAATGTAATTATCTTAATCTTCACTATCGTTACTTTTTAAAAACCCAGCGAAGCGGGTCCTTGCAGCTAGATTCTAGATTACTTAGAAAAACAGTCTTTTATATATATATAAAAAACTATATTACATACAAATGTACGAACAAATAAAAACCCAGCGAAGCGGGTCCTTGCAGCTAGTTATGAATAAAATTTTGTATCATGTATCTGTGTCCAGGAACTGTTGAATCAACCTGATAATTATTATACATATACACAGTAATTAAGTGGTGATGTATGTAAAGTCTCAGAATTTTTCATACTGAAGATTTTTATTATTTTATATAATGACAAAGTAATGAATAAAGAGAATAAAATAAAAGTTATACATTAAATGCCCACATTAAATTTATCAGTGATAAGAATTGTTTTGATAATAATAATAATAATAATAACCATTTTGTTTTCAGACTACGTGAATGATAACATTCTAGTCTAGTATTGAATTTGTCTGTCTAATATTTCTATTTGTTTAAAATGTGTTCATGTATATTTGTTGAAAATTTACATAAAACTTCAATAAATTCAAATTATTTATCAAATATATCTAAATACAATAGAAGTTAAAATTGAAGACAATCTGTCAGTCACCCTCTATTCACTTCTACGCTCCAAAGTATATTCCAGGGAATGCCAACACGTAGACCGCGGTCGACCGCAAAGGTTTTGAAAGTAGCCCACGAAGCTAAAGTTGAACAATTTGCTTTCACTTAAATTAATGTTTAAAAATCTTAATTCAATAATTTATTCTTACAATAATAGTCTGTTTATGCAACGTACCCATACTGTTTGTATTTATCCCAAACAATGCAAATGAATGTTAATGCATGCGCATATAAAAATCCTAAAATTGTTTGCCCATATTCATAGTCGCCCGCAGACTATATTTTACCAAAAAAGTAGCCCTTAAGGGATAAAAGTTAGGCCACACCTGGTATATTCCATGACAGCCTGATCTTTCCTTTATATCAGGTCATCAAGAAATGTATTCCAGAACATAAAAGTGAATGAAAAGTAACTGTTTTGACAGACTTTGTCATCAATTTTAATCATTTACTATAAAATCAAAATCACTATCCAAGTGAAAGTTTAAAAAATAAAAAAAAAATATAGAAGTTAAGTTTAGATGTACTTCTGGATACTTGTAAAGACTTGTTTTCGAAGAACACCAACAAATTCTTTTTGATTTATACAAAGTAATTTTACAAAACAATAAGACATGTTTATTTTTAATATATGATTATAAATGAGAATTAATGTGAAATTTCCTTCAGACTAGGAAAGACTAACAATAAAAAAATATTCTAGTAGTATTCATAGAGCATCTCTCAGGTGGCATCATTCTCAACAGATTGCCCATGTGTTGTATTGCCACATTAATCAAACCAACCTTAATTTATCATTTAATCATAGATCATAGTACAGGGTATCTGAAAAGTTGCCGTGCTGTGAGAAATTTGTAATGACATTAAAGTTATACATACAGCATTTTATACAAGTTTTATGACCTGCATTTTCACTTTGCATTAGATGGTGTTACTGTTCATTCATAGATGTTCTGGTGTTTGGACTATAATTTTTGGAAGATTTCTTTGCCAATTGCATAATCTCATGGAATTTGGCCTGCTAGGTCTCTGGACCTCACTTCCTGAATTTTGGGGTGTTGGGGATATTTCTAGTATTTGCTGAAGCAGAAACTGCATTCGATCTGAAGGAGATAACTCGGTCTCCAAACAAGCTACTCGGCAAAGCTGGCCACCAATGGTCAACTTCCTAAACTTCTTATGTTAAAGAAAGTTTATGGCCTGACCAATCAATGACAGGACTACCGATTCAGTAGTGGTGTGAGATTTGCCTTATGTCATTAGACAACACTACACAAATCATCGATGACATTATTCAAATTAGATTTTAATGTGCTTGCGAGTAAGACTACTAACTGCTTTTTGGTACTCGTCACAATTCAATTTAAATTAAATTAATGAAAACATATTAATTGACATTTGCATAGTACAGAGTGAGGCAGAAAGGATGGACGTTTTTGAAATGGCTAGAATTTGCCACCAGGTGGAGTGACATGTGGCAGGAAGCGTGAAAGTAGTGAGGTCTTAGCATTGTCTTTTCAGTTGAAGGCACGGAGCCATGGATGTTAGAATACTGTGTGTTTGTGTACGTCTGAGGAAACAGTCATATGCTCAGTCGTACACATCTGATGAGAATACATTTTCGCATCCTTGCATACAATGGAAACATATTCTCATTAGACATGTGTGGTTTCAACAGGAGGGGTGATGGTACAGGCAGTTAGGGCATCAATTGATGTTATTTGTCATCTCTTTCTTGGTTGCCTCATTTTCAGGTTCAGTGACATTCATTGGCCTCCTCGTTCACCCGACCTATCCATGTGCGAAAATAATTTTTATTCAGAAACATTTCTAGTGAGATTCTACATCTTCGTGAAATTCATTATTCTCAGGTTTTTGTATTGGTGATATAGAAAATAGACACTACTACAGAGTGTGCAGTGAAAGAGTAGACATGAGTCAGCCCGAGCTGGAAGGATCTACAGGGTGGGAAAGAAAGTCACTTAACACACCTTCTACAGAATATAGAATATACCGAAAGTTAATTCGCTCATGTCAAAAACACATTAGACACAGAGGAAACATTGTGTGTTACAGGCAATGCCACAATCTTGATTATAACTCTAAACTGTAGATGGGAAGGAAATCGTCTGACATGTCATTTAGGGTCAGAATTTACTACTAGAGGTAGACATTAGGTACCATCTCTTATCTAAATTAATAAATATAATTTTAATAGTATATTAAATAATTTAGAATCATATGGAAGAGATGTGGAATATAAGAGTATTAATCATTAAAATTGCAGATTTATAGCCTGATTATTTAAGGCCATTGTTTTATTATGTATCTATATAATAAAACAATGGGCTTATAATATTAAAATATCGGGCTTTGGGATGTTTGATATAGTTTAGTTTACTTTATTCGTATTATAAATTAAATTTTAAAATTTTTTAACATTCTTAGGTGATATGTATGAAATTGGTGCCGAAACGGGACGGTATTATTCAGTTAATGTGCCTTTAAAGGAAGGAATCGACGATCAGAGTAAGTTTTAAACCTATAATTATTTACACATAAACTATTTGTACAGTACATTGAGAACAGACCTTGTACAACGTTATTCATTAATAAAATTATTGTTTACTGCATTTAGAGAGCTTATTGTAAGTAGTCATTTATATCTTGTATCCAGTTACATGCAACGAACCTTAAACACGCTTCCAGCAGGAAAACATTTTTAAATTTTTACAATAGCAAATGTTTTTGGTCTTTTTTCGTAGGCCTGCATCAAGCTTATGCAGAAGAAACATAAATTCAAACTGAGACTTCCAGATTTAGAATGTTTCTTGAGATTTTTTTTCGTATCATAGCATTTAAATAATTACAGGATGTTTTTTTGAAACTATACACGTTCACCTACAGCAAAAATTATTATGTAATAGAATTTTTATGTAATTCTAAAATACAATCTTAAATACAATCAACTAGGAAGATGCAAAACTAGAAAAATCTTTGATTTAAAAGATAAGAAGTCTGGAGGGGTGGAAATTTTTAATATAACAGTTAACATGTAAGTAATAAGGATGGTGAGATAATACCTATGGTATGGCGATCATTGGTAGACAACCGTCTGAAAGGAAACAGTACTAAGGCAATGAAAAATTTGCATGCAATTCCCATCCATTGTTTATTAAATTTGAAATTTGGTGATATTTAGGATTAAGTGAAAAATTTCTATTATATAATATAATAATTCTTTGCGTAAGTTGGCAGATCAGATCTCATTATAGATTTGGCCCATTTGTGTGGACAAAAATCGAGATCGGATAGTCCGTGGAGAAATGATCTCTCATGTCAATAAATTAATCGATTTTTATTTGAAGAAGTGATATATAATACAAGATACTCCAATATATTTATATTTTTTCATTTTATTTGTTGTTTTGCAGGTTATTTTCAAGTTTTTAAACCAGTTATTCAATCAGTTATGGAGTTCTATCAACCTACTTGTATTGTTTTACAGGTATGAATATTTGATTAAAATAATTTATAGATTTAATAACATTTTATTGAAAAATAGACTTTTTGTAATGAGATAATGTAAATTGGTTAGATAATGCATGAATAAACCAATATTTGAAACTGCGAAAAGAAATTTTATTCAAAAATTAGTCAAATAATTGATTTTGAACTCAATTTAATTTTAAAATTAAATCTTTGACTTTTAGTGTGGTGCCGACTCCTTAGCCGGAGACAGATTAGGATGTTTCAATTTAAGTATAAAAGGACATGGGTATGTTAATTTAATATATTTAATAATTTAAATAGCTTCTGTTACTTACAGATTTAGTAGAATATTATTTTAATCACTCTGGGATTTTCCACACCCATGCACAGTAACCGAATGATAATGTTAAGCAGAATAAATAAGACTTGATGGAGGAAATTCTGATTTTATTGACTCTGACATTAAGAAGACTAATGATAAAAACAATTAAATTACCTATAACATAAAGATATATTAATTCTAACTACTGTACACTCTTGTTAATCCAGTCTTTCAATTATCTGACATATCTTCAGTGTGATAACCTGTACTCTTCTGTTTTCCGAAAATGTTAGTTGTGTCACACGTCCCAGTTTTTCATTTATTTGGTTTTCGTTTTGGCATTTGTGTCAGCGTCCCGTATTGTTTGACCTGCCTGCATCCATAAAGAATTCATACTAAAGAGCAAGGTGTCACACATTTGTGCCTTTTACAGCCTCTAGGCCTATATACACTTGGGTGATCTGGTACTCTTGTTAATCTGGCATTCCTCTGTGCAAGGAATAGCCAGATTAACAGGAGTCTAGTGTATTAATTAATATGCAATACACTCTTGCTAATCAGCCATTCTTGCACAGAGGAGTACGAGATTAGCAAGCTTGCTGGATTACTGAGTAGTTCATTATTATTATTTTTTTTTTATTCAATCAAAAATATTTTTATAAATCATTAAGTCTTAATAATGCACAAATAATCAGGTTTATTTTTATCTTGTTCTAGTGAATGTGTCAAATTTGTTAAAGAATTAAATCTTCCCTTACTTGTTCTCGGTGGCGGCGGCTACACCGTTCGTAATGTGGCTCGATGTTGGACGTACGAAACTTCGTTACTAGTAGAAGAAGCCGTCAGTAGCGAAATACCTTACAATGGTATGATTTTTATTTTCTTTATATTAATTTATATTCAAAATAATGTTTGTTAATTCAGTAGATTATAAAGGTATATGTTCTAACGGCAAAATTTTTATGTAGAATATTTTGAATACTTTGCACCTGACTTTACATTGCATCCTGAAGTTGTTACAAGGCAAGAAAATGCAAATAGTAAACAGGTAATTTATTCTTGTTAACAAATTTTAGTTAAAAAATAATTGAAATTTATAATTTTATCAACTAAAATATTCAATTTTAGGAATTTTTTTTACACATGGAATTTAATTAAAGGTTTATTATATTTTACAGTATCTGGATGCTATTGTAAAAGCAGTGACAGAGAATCTAAAATGTCTTGCTCATGCTCCCAGCGTGCAGATGCAAGATGTTCCTCCGGATATGTTAAATTTAGAAAATACCGAAGAACCGAATTTAGACTCGCGTGGTTCTCAGAACGAGACAGAAACAAAGTAAATTAAAAAAATTTTTTTTTTGTATTCTTGTAATCAATTATCATAGATTTATACCAAATTTTTCTTAAAAATTTATACAAAAATTTCTTCATTTTAATTAAATTTTACAGGTATTTAAACTGTTTATGGAGCTTGTTTATTTACTTAAATCTTGAATAGAGGCCAGCATATTTTCAACTTTCTAAGATACGGAAGCTTTCTGAAGCAAACAAAAACGTCATTTAATTAACTAAAGAAGCCTTAATTTAACATTACACAAACGCTTTTGAAGCTTTCAGCTTATTCTCGGATGCATTGTTTGACTTTTGTTTGAATAAAATTAAACAGAAAGGGTATTTGGTAGAATCGAGTAAAGAACAGACGATGCATTCGAGACAAAGCTAATAATTCATTTATTTAGTTTAGAACTCAAAACGTTTTTTAGCATTTACATGAACAACATTTTAATTTGGTTTAGCAAAGAAACACTTTGTCCTACATTTTCAAATTTATATACTTTATAATCCTATTTTACTTCCTGGATCTATGTCTTTCTTTTACACTAGACAAATTTATTGTTTATTAAGTATTTCTGATGAAAAGTTATTGTTTCCTATCATTTTGTTTGTTTTTTGTTACATTTTTATTTAAATGATTCTTCATTTTTAACATTCTCTAAAATATTTAACACTTATTTTTACATTTCCCATCTTTTGATATCATTTATTCTTTTGTATTTAGATTAATGTGAAGATAGCTTATTTCCTCTTTCATTTTATTGATTACTTACTATGGAAGATAAGATATTGACTCATTCTCAATTCCATTTTTGCTATTCTCCTTATAATCTCTTGATTCCTGAAAGCTGTGATAACAAATTTCCATTTAAAGCATTCATTTGAATTTAAAATGTAATTTATGAAATTTAATCTACAAAATCTCTCCTAAAATGTTATGCTTGCCTTCCGTTACATCATCAAATTATATGCAGTTTCTACATATGCAAAGTACAAATATGGAAAATGTCTTTAATCTTTATCTCTTAGCTCTTTGACTTTATCCTTGATCTCTCAACAATCTGTTCAGTGATGCTTTCTGACAATTTTCTTATTTTCTTAGACAAGATAATACGTAGATGTTCTCGCACTCAATTTCTTTAATTGCTAGATCCATATCTCAATTGTTTTTGTGATTATTACACAAAAAAACCAATTATTTTTAATATTTCTTTCTAAAAACATTCATTTGTAATTTGTTATGAGCTTTTTCATTTTTTTAAATTATTTTAATTTACTTTTCTTTCTATTCTTGTTGATCAAATGGTGATGAAATCATTTGAGGACCTATACTCAAATCTAGTCAAACTGTCATAATTTATCATAGACTGTTATGATTGAAGTATTATGCTTTATCCTTCGGCTGTACTTTCCAATCCAGCTGTGGGTAAAGGTTAATTTAATATATTTAATAATTTAAATAGCTTCTGTTACTTACAGATTTAGTAGAATATTATTTTAATCACTCTGGGATTTTCCACACCCATGCACAGTAACCGAATGATAATGTTAAGCAGAATAAATAAGACTTGATGGAGGAAATTCTGATTTTATTGACTCTGACATTAAGAAGACTAATGATAAAAACAATTAAATTACCTATAACATAAAGATATATTAATTCTAACTACTGTACACTCTTGTTAATCCAGTCTTTCAATTATCTGACATATCTTCAGTGTGATAACCTGTACTCTTCTGTTTTCCGAAAATGTTAGTTGTGTCACACGTCCCAGTTTTTCATTTATTTGGTTTTCGTTTTGGCATTTGTGTCAGCGTCCCGTATTCTTTGACTTGCCTGCATCCATCCATAAAGAATTCATACTAAAGAGCAAGGTGTCACACATTTGTGCCTTTTACAGCCTCTAGGCCTATATACACTTGGGTGATCTGGTACTCTTGTTAATCTGGCATTCCTCTGTGCAAGGAATAGCCAGATTAACAGGAGTCTAGTGTATTAATTAATATGCAATACACTCTTGCTAATCAGCCATTCTTGCACAGAGGAGTACGAGATTAGCAAGCTTGCTGGATTACTGAGTAGTTCATTATTATTATTATTTTTTTATTCAATCAAAAATATTTTTATAAATCATTAAGTCTTAATAATGCACAAATAATCAGGTTTATTTTTATCTTGTTCTAGTGAATGTGTCAAATTTGTTAAAGAATTAAATCTTCCCTTACTTGTTCTCGGTGGCGGCGGCTACACCGTTCGTAATGTGGCTCGATGTTGGACGTACGAAACTTCGTTACTAGTAGAAGAAGCCGTCAGTAGCGAAATACCTTACAATGGTATGATTTTTATTTTCTTTATATTAATTTATATTCAAAATAATGTTTGTTAATTCAGTAGATTATAAAGGTATATGTTCTAACGGCAAAATTTTTATGTAGAATATTTTGAATACTTTGCACCTGACTTTACATTGCATCCTGAAGTTGTTACAAGGCAAGAAAATGCAAATAGTAAACAGGTAATTTATTCTTGTTAACAAATTTTAGTTAAAAAATAATTGAAATTTATAATTTTATCAACTAAAATATTCAATTTTAGGGAATTTTTTTACACATGGAATTTAATTAAAGGTTT